AAACAGATCATTAAACAAAGTCATCAAATCACATGGAAAGAGAGCACAGGAAGAAGGAACAGAGAAGTATGAAATGGAAACAAGTGCATACCTATCAATTATTCATGTAAATGAACTAAATGCTCCCAGCAGAAGACACAGGGCAGCTGAATAATTTTTTTAAAGATCCACCTACAAGCTACCTACAAGAGACTTATGTCTCATCTAAAGACACACACAGACGGAAAGTGAAGGGATGCAAAAGGAGATTCCATGCAAATGAAAACAAAAAGAAATCTAGGGAAGCAATACTTAGACAAAGAGCACTTAAAACAAAAATACTTAAAACAAAGGTGGTGACATGAAAGAAAGAAAGGCATTAAATAATGAAAATGGGATCAATCCAACAAAAGGATACAATACTTTAAACATCTATTCACCCAACATATCAATAGAAGCACCTAAATTCATAAAGTAAATATTAACAGACATAAAGAAGAAACTTACAGTATTACAATAATAGTAGGGAGCTTGAACACCCAAATTTATCAATGGATAGATCAACAAACAAAAACTCAACAAGAAAACAATGGGCATAAATGACACATTGGACCAGATAAGATTAATATAAGTATACAGAACATTTCATCCCATAACAGAAGAATACTCTCCAAAACTGATCACATGTTAGACCACAAAACAAGTCTCATTAATTTAAGAAAACTGCAGTTATATCAAGCATCTTTTCCAAACACAAAGGTATGAAATTAGAAATTAATTACAAGAAGAACCCGGAAAAATACAAACACATGGAAATTAAACAACATGCTACTAAATAACCAATGGGTCAACAAAAAGATTGAATAAGAAATTCACAAATACCGTCATACAAATGAAAATGGAAACACAATCTTCCAAATTGTGTGGGACACAGAAAAAGCAGTTCTGCCCTGGTCGGCGTAGCTCAGTGGATTCAGCGCCAGCTGTGAACCAAAGTGTCCCAGTTCAATTCCCAGCCAGTACATGCCTGGGTTGCAGGCCATGACCCCCAGCAACCGCACATTGATGTTTCTCTCTCTCTCTCTCTCTCTCTCTCTCTCTCTCTCTCTCTCTCTCCCCCCCTCCCCCTCTCTCTCTCTCTAAAAATCAATAAATAAAATCTTAAAAAAAAAAGCAGTTCTAAGTGGGAAAATTTATACCGATACAGGCCTACCTAAACAAATAAGAGAAATTCCCCCAAAAATACCTCACCCTAAATCAAAAGGTACTAGAAAAACAAGAAGAAACAAAGCCCAAAATTATTAGAAGGAAGGAAATAATAAAGATCAGAGTAGAAATAAACAAAATAATGACAAAAAAAGAAAACAATAGAAAAGATCAATGAAACTAAGAGCTGGTTCTTGGAAAAGATAAGCAAATTGATAAACCTCTAGCCAGGCTCATCAAGAACAAAAAGAGAACCCAAACAAATAAAAAAAAATGAAAGATAAGTTACAACCAACACCACAGAAATACAAAGGATCATAAAAAAATACTACAACAATTATATACCAAAAAGGGAAAACTTAGGAAAAAAATGGATAAATTACTAGAAACATACAAATGTTCAAGACTGAATCAGAAAGACTGGTGTACAGACTGATTACTAGTAGTGAAACTGAATCATTAATCAAAAGAAATCCCAATTTAAAAAGTCCAGAACTAGATGCTTCACAGGTGCATAAATCTGTCAAACATTTAAAGAAGTTAATACATAGCTTTATGAAACTACTCCAAAAAGTTGAAGAGGAAAAAACACTTTCAAACTCATTCTACAAGACCAACATTACCCTGACACCAAACCAAAGACAGGGAAAAAAAAAAAAAACAAGAGAGAGAGAGAATATTGTACACCATTATCCCTGATAAACATAGATGCAAAAATCCTTAACAAAATATTAGCAAACCCAATACAACAATATCTTAAAAGGACCACACACCACAATCAAGTGGGGTTTATTCCTGGGATGCAAGAATGGGTCAATATCCATAAATCAATCAACATGATACACCACAAAAACACAACAAAAGATAAAAATTCTATGATTATCTCAATAGATGCAGAAAAAGCATTTAATGAAGCATTCAGCATCCACTTATAATTAAAAACTATCAACAAAATGGATGTGGAGGGAACAAACATCATCAGCATAATAAAGGCCATGCATGACAAACCCACAGCTAACACCATACTCAATGGTAAAAAGCTAAAAGCTTTTCCTCTAAGAGCAGGAACATAACAAGGATGCCCACTCTTGCCACTTTCATTCAATGTAGTATTAGAAGCCTTAGCCACAGCAATCAGATAACAAAAAGGAAATAAATAGCTTCCTAGCTGCAAAGGAAGAAGTAAAACTGTTACTATTTGGAGGTGACAGGATATCACATACAGAAAACACTGGACTCCTCCAAAACAACCTACTAAAACTAATAAATGAATTCAGTGAAGTTGCAGGTATACTCGATATACAGAAACTCAATATACAGAAATCTGTTGCATTTCCATACATTATAACAAACTATCAAAAAGAGAATTAAAGAAAACAGTCCCAATTATAATTGCATCAAAAGAATAAAATACCTAGCAATAAATTTAACCAATGAGGTGAAAGTCCTGTACTTAGAAAATTATAAAATATTAATGAAAGAAATTGAAGGTGACACAAATAAAAAATATATAAAGTGTTCATAAACTGGAAGAATTAATGTTGTTAAAATGTCCATACTACCCAAAGCACTCTATGGATTCAATGCAATCACTATCAAAATATCAATGGCATTTTTCACAGAATTAGAACAAATAACCCTAAAATTTGTTTGGATCCACAAAAGACCCCAAATAGCCAGGGCAATCTTGAGAAAAAAGAACAAAGTTAGAGATACCATGTTTCCTGATTTCAAACTATACTACAAAATATAGTTTGTAGTATACTACGAAGATATAGTTTGTAGTATATTATAAATTATTATATTATATTATAAAATATACTAAAGTACCATATTTTTCAGACTATAAGAGGTACATTACAGCCCCCCTCCAAATTTGGGAGGAATAATGGTTGTTAATGCTATTGTTGAGTTCTGTTTACATTTACATTGGTGAAATATTATGTCATTTATGGTATTAAATATTTTACCACATTTTTTGCTTCAATCTTTTTTTTCCTATTTTCCTCCTCTAAAACCTAGGTGCATCTTATGGTGTGCAAAATGTGGTATGTTATAATTTATTATAATTATAATTATAAAATATTATACTTTATTATAAATATATTATATTATAAGTATAATATAATATACTAAAGTATATTGTAAAATATACTGCAAAGTATAGTTTGTAAAGTATAGTATAGTAATCAAAATAGTATGGTACTCATAACAAAACAGTCATATGGATCAAAGGAACAGAATACTGAGCCCAGAAATAAACCTACACTTATACGGTCAATTAATATATGACAAAGGAGATGAGAATATACTATGAGGAAATGATAGTCTCTTCAATAAACACTGTTGAGAAAATTGAACAACTACCTGCAAAGGAATGAAACTAGACCACTTCATTATATCATATACAAAAATAAACTGAAAATGGACTAAACACTTACATGAAATACATGAAACTATACATGAAACTATACATGAAAGTAATACATGAAAGTATAAACTCCTAGAAGAACACATAGGTGATGAATTCTTTGACATCAGTCTTAGCAATCATTTTTTGTTGCCTCTTCAAGCAAGGGCAACAAAAGCAAAAATAAACAAATGGGACTACATCAAACTAAAAAGTTTTTATACAGTGAAGGAAAGCATCAACAAAACAGAAAAGCAACCTACTGAATGGGAGTAGATATTAGCAAACATATCCAATAAGGAGTTAACATCTAAAACATATAAAGAACTTATACAACTCAATATTTTAACAATCTGATTTAAAAATGGACAGATAACCTAAATAAACCCTTTTCCAAAGACAATATATGGGTGGCCCACAAGCAAATGAAAAGATGCTCAACATCACTAATCATCAGGGATATACAAATCAAAACCACAATGAGACATCCTTCACACCTGTTGGAATGGCTATTATCAAAAAGACAACAAATAACAAGCACTAGTGAGGATGTGGAGAAACGGGAACCCTCGTGCACTATTAGTAAGATTGTAAATTAATGCAGCCACTGTGGAAAACAGTATGGAAGTTCCTTAAAAAATTAAAAATAGAATACCATGTGATCCAGCATCTACTTCTGAGTATATATCTAAAGAAAATAAAAACACTAACTAGAAAACATATGCACCCCTAATTTTATTATAGCACTGTTTACAATATTCAAGATATGGAAGCAAACTAAGTGGCTCTTTACAGATGAATGGAAAATGAATGGATAAAGAAGATTTAATATATATTACACACACACACAGGATTGTTACTTAGCCATAAAAAATAATGAGATCTTGCCATTGAAGACAACAAGGATAGACCTAGAAGGTATTATGCTGAATAAAACAAGTCAGACAGAGAAAGACAAATACTATATGATTTCACTTATGTGTGGAATCTAAAGCAAACACATAAAACAGAAACACACTCAGATTCAGAACACAAAATGATGGTTGTCAGAGAGAAGGGGGTTGGGGATGTGGGCCATGTAGGTGAAGGGGATTAAGAAGTACATTATTCCACTTCTAAAATAAATAAGCCATAAAAATGTAATGTACAGCATGTGGATATAGTCAATAACATTGTAAAATTTGTGTATGATGAGAGAAGGTTACTAGAGACATCATGGTGATCATTTCATAAGTATATAAATATCAAATTCTTATGTGGTACTCCTGAAACTAATATAACATATGTCAACTCTACCTCAATAAAAATAAATATATATTGCTTTTAAATATAATATATATACACACTGCAAAATTAATTGGAAATAAGCATTTGAACAGCATAACAATCACAGGTAACAGTTTACCTGAACAAACAAAGCAATGATGGCGATCCCATGTGGCTTCCCCACGGCCTCATCGATACTGCCAAACAAGGTGGAGTTCCAGTGGATCAGATGCAACTGCGTGAGCAACAACAGGCAGGTTACCTCATTACTTAATGTACTTCCATTTAAAAAAGCAGAGACATACCAACTTTCCTTAACTGTACATATATGGTATCATATGCAACACAAATATCACAAATAGACTACTGCTTTAATACGGGTTCTCTGTAGAAATGTCTTCCTTCTTATTTCTGAACAAAAGTACTGCTTAGTGGACTTCTGCCTCTCCAGTCCTGCTTTAGTCCTAACCAGGACCACATCAAAGGAGACTGACAGATTCCACATTGATTTGGTTGCTTTTCTTTGTCATATCATCTGAACCTCAATAGAACAAGACTCTGGGTCAGGGCAGAAACACTGGAACTCATTCACAGGATGAGCACTTGCAGTATTTCCTTCAAGAATAAGACAAAGCCAGTCTCAAATTCTGATAAATTATTTCAACCCTCTAAGAATATCCAGAGATAGGATCCTATAAAAATGTTGCATCTTTTTAAAGCCATGGTAAAACAATGAGGGCTGATAAGGAGCACTAAAAGGAGGCCCTTCCCTGCGCTGAGATAAAGTTTTATCTGTGAGGGAATGACAAGCAATGCTCTAGAGGACTCCTTCGCTCCTGGTTTCATAAAGCTTTGTAGCTTTCAAGTTTATCTAGAAAATACACTTGCTCCTACAGCCCTGATAAAACCCTTGCAAGAAGCCAAATTCAATTCCCTGGCTAAAATTAAATGGCCATTGAGGTTCTTAGCTACAGTAGCTAGGTAAGCCTCCGCCTGGAATACCATCTTCGTCACTATAGCTTTTAATCAAGTTATACTTACTCACTACCTTAAAACATTGTCTCATTTAAAAATAGTTATAATCCAAAAAGACATAGTTAAAATTCAATCACCATGTCATTTTAGCATCCATATTAAAATATTATTGAAAATTATCATGTGGATTGCCACGAATTTGTTTTTTGGCTAAATTTGTCCAAGAATCTGAAATTCTAAGACTGACCACTAGAGGGAGGTAATGAAGTCTTCTGCCCATAAGTAACAGAAATGGTAGCCTAGGAAAAAACTATATATATCCAAAACCAGGGTGGGGTCAGGCTATGAAAAAGCCACATGGATTATGACTGCCCAATAAATGTAACTGTCAAGGCCCTGCCATTAAGAAAATAATGTTTTATAACCTTTCAGTTAATAATCAAAGACCAACCAATTTTAATCTTTCCCTGTCTGGCTACAACAATAGCACAGGCGTCCCAGTGGTACCGACCAGTGTACATTGGTGCTGATAAGAACTGATTGCCTTAATTAAATCAAGAAAGACGGCCCAAGGTAAAAATCTAATTTTATTTAACAAATTACAGAGTTCAAATCAACATTTTCCGTAGTTCTCACAGCCACATTTTCGGGTATTTTTTTCTAATGCAAAACAAATAAACCAAAACAACATCATCATTTCTTTCTTTTTTTTTTTTACCACCTTCACAATTCAAGAACATTGTCACTCTCACCAGCTCTTCAAAACCTGGTTCACATATTCTGTGTTTAAAAAACTTAAGGGGACCCACTCCTTAAGTGTGTGCTGCACACGCTGACTTCATTTCCAAGAGGGTAGTATAGAAGAGTAACTTTACAATAGAGAAATATAACAAACACTATTGGAGCCAGGTGATCAAAGTCAAATTCAGCAGTTATCAGTCATGTTGATAGTACAGATGGTTAATTCAAGTGCCAAACAAATTTCCAGCACCTTCTGGAGATCTGTTATAACCTAGTACATATTTAATTTTATGTAGTAGTAACCTTGATGCACAATCCACAAATATAACACTCTACAGTTTATTGCTTCTTAGCTTCAGCTCACTCTGTGCTCCCGAAACCTTTCCTCACTTCACCTGTATTAGTCTGCTAGGGCTACCATGACAAAGAACCACAGATTGAACAGTGCAAATAATAAAGATCTATTTATTCCTCACAGTTCTGGAGGCTGGAGTCCAAGATCAAGGTGTCAGCAGGTTTGGTTGCTTCTGAGGCCTCTTTCCTTGACTTGCAGATGGCTGCCTTCCCCCTGTGTCCTCACATCATCTTTTCTCTGGGCATGTCTGTGTCCCAGTTTCCTCTTCTTGTAAGACACCAGTCACACTGGATTAGGCCCTGCCCTAACAACCTCATTTTAGTCTAATTACCTCTGCAAAGATCCTGTCTCCAACTATGGTCACATTCTGATGTACTAGGAGTTAAGACTTCAAAATATGAATGGAGTAGGGGCACAATTCAGCCTATAACACCATCTATCTCACCTTTCCCTCATCTTAATGAATTTTTTTCAGATCACAAAACCCTGAATTTTTCACATCAATTTCTGCTCTTCCATAGTCCTGTTTTTCCCCCCCATCATCTTGTATTTCCCCTCATATTAGTGTTGCTCTGTTCCAAAAAGAAAAGCCACATAGATACAGGAAAATTATCAGTACTTATGAAGAACTAAGAGTAACTGTGGGTAGCTAAGGGGTACATAAGTCTGGCAGTGATGGGAAAGAAGAGGCTAGGAAGTTAAAGGGGTTCTGACTGCACAGAACTTTGAATTTTATCATAATTGTGTGTTTGGAATCACTAAAGCAATACTGCAGTGAATATTATTATTACTTATGTTGCTTAGACTCATACAAACTCCCCCATACCAATGTGTTTCCTTCAAAGGTCCTTTTGGCAGTATGGGGGTGAACTGGAAGTGTTAGGCATAGGAGGCTGGAAGATAAGCTAGGATGCGACCAAAAAAGTTCCAGCTGAAAAATGATGATAAACATGTGGGATGGTTAAGTTTATGTGCCAACATGGCCAGGCTATGGTGCCCAGTGTTTTGGTCAAACACTAGCCTAGATGTCAGCATGAGGGTAGTTTTTTTAGATTTGATAACCTTTAAACCAGTAGACTTTGAGTAAAGCAGATTACCTTCCATAGCATAGGTGGGCCTCCTCTATTAGCTGAAAGCCTTAAAAGCAAAGGGTGAGGTCCCTGAAGGAGAGGCAATCTACCTCCACATAGTAACATAAAAATTTCACCTGAGTTTCCAATCTTTGGCCCGTCCTGAAGATTTCTAAATTGCCAGTTTCCACAATCACATGAGCCATTTCCTTAAAATGAATCTTAATTCATCTTTCAGTAGACAGACAGACAGACAGAGACAGACATAGCCACAGAGATAGACAAGGATCTGTTCAGATATACAAGGTCTGTCCGGAAAAAGTCCAGCCATCATTAACATAATGGGAACAGTTTGTGAAACGTCGATGTAACCTGGCAGCCAAGGAAAGCAGACTGGAATGTACATACATCAGCAATGACGACTTCACTCTACAAGTCAGTGAGGGCAGTAGATGCTGTTGAGTGAGCACATGTACTGTGTGGCCATTGCATTCAAAATGATTGAGAGAGTACAGCAATAAATTCGCATCAAATTTTGCATTAAACTTGAATATTCTTCATGGAAACTATTCAGATGTTCAGAAGGCTGCAGCTATGGGCAACTGTAAATTGTCAGTTTCATCAAGACAACATGCCTGTTCATGCATCACATCTCATGCAAAGTTTTTTGGCAAAACATTAAATCACCCAGGTGACTCAACCTCTCTACAGCCCAGATATGGTGTTCTGTGACTCCTTGTTTTTCCCCAAAACTAAAATCACCTTTGAAAGGTAAAAGATTTCAGACCATTGATGACATTCAGGAAAATACATTGGGGCAGCTGATGGTAATTGGGGGAACTGTGTGAGGTCCCAAGGTGCCTACTTTGAAGGGGACTTAGGTGTCATTGTCCTATGTAAAATGTTTATTGCATCTTGCATCTTCTTCAGTAAATGTCTATTTTTCAGAGCACATGGCTGGATACCTTCTGGACAGACCTCATATACCTGTTTCTCTGGAGAACCCTAACTGACACAGGTTGTACAAAAAAATGGGAAAAAAAGTATAAAGATGAATGGAGTTTTAAATCTGAACAAGACTAGTAGGAATAAAGACAGGGCTCTAAAATGATATTTGGAAGTTATTCTCCTAACACTAAACATGGTGCCTTTGGGGAAGGGAAATGGGGGACACAACAACCCACTGATTATCAGAAAGAACAAATTAGAACTTCTGCTCATATTTATCCAGTGCCTTTTCAATTTCGATTCTCCTATGCTTCAAAAAATACATTTGATAGATAGGTAGGTAGATAGGAAAGAAGGAAGGAAGGAGAGAGAGAGATAAAGAAAATAAAAATACATATTAGTACATGAATATAATTTTTAAATAAATATGGACATATTAAGGATATGTGCTCCAAATTTCTTTTAGAAACAAATGGTTTTGAATGGAAAGGCATGTGATACTAAGAATATGGTTTAGAAAATGAAGAAGTGGCCCACTGCTTCTAAGGGAGGCTCAGTGGAGGTCCAAGCAGATGGTTGTTATCAGGCCAGGGAGCTGGAAGATGAACTTCAAAGCCTGATTGAGACAGGCTCTGGGGTGTGTCTGGCCTACCTATCACTGAGTACAGAATGCAGAGGCAGAAACACAGCACACCTCTGCAACTGTGCTGATCAGTTCTTAGAGGCAACATGCTCTCATAAAAGACCCCTACGCTAGGAATCACAAGCTTTAGATTCTTGTTTCAGTTCCACAACTCTTCAGTTCTGTGAACTTCACAGGCACTAACTTCTTTGGGCATCAGACTAACATAAGGAGTGTTATATGTTAAAAGCGTGGCTTCTTCATACCTTTCCCTGACCTCCCATAGTACTCTCTCTATTCCTGTATTATCACATTTTGCTGTAGGTATGGCCAGCAAAGGCATAGAAGAAGAGTGATGAATTTTGAAGATGGAGAGCAGCTTAACAATTTGTAGTGAAGACCAAGCATACAGACGTCTCTCACCATTTCTAAGGAGTAAAAGGGTTAAATGGTATTATTGCTACATCTACTGCCTACACTCAGACAGTCCCACTCTGCTCGGTCACTTCACTCCTCGAGGGCCC